TACGTGTCACACTGTACGTCATCATCATAATAATAGATAGCATTTGTATAGCACAAATCCCCGCTCAACAGCGGGCTCTATGCCCTTCACAATCTATACTATTACCCCAGCAGACCTGAGAGCATTCTGAAACAACATCAACTTCCTGGGAAGCATACAGTGCAAGCGGCCATTTATAGGCGCTAAAACACTAACATACTGAAAAGATCTTTCGCTGTCTATGGCCGGGTTTCCATTTCCACCTGGGTGAGGGGAGGAAAACTCGTGTAAAGAAGAAGAAGAAGAAGAAGAAGAAGAAGAAGAAGAAGAAGAAGAAGAAGAAAAAACCCCCCAAAAAACAACTTTCCACCAGCCGGCGTTAACTTTCTACACAATAATCTACAATAAATATTTCATCAATGACACTCACGGTTTTAGCAATAGCAGTCAGTGCTGGGTACTCTCGTGCTCTTTCTCGTAGTTCTTGATCTTGAAGGCTTTGATGACAACAAGAACTTCTGTGGCGTCAGTTGTGGGTAATCAGAAGAAGGTTCTATGACGTCAGTTGTGGATAAACAGCGATGAACAGAACACAGAAAGTCTTTTTACCATATACCTTAACCGCCGAAATAGAAAGTCACTGAGGATACCGAACACGTTTTACACAACAACGGGTGAAACAATCCCCTGGATTAATATCGTGAAGGTCTATCGTGTACTTCACATGAAACCACAGGAAACAAATCCTTTTTGAAAATCTTTTTGCGACAATGTCCACAAAAACTTGAAGAAATGAGATGTGATGTTATCGACAAACATTCACATACACAGACTTCGTCAAACTAACGTCCGCTCAGGGGATGAACAAAGGCAACATGAACTGACTTTTCAATCAAACTGAGGCAGACTGGTCAGCTGACAAAGATGGCCGTCAAACCCACGCCAACGAGTCACAAGGGCGGAGTCGCTTCCTTTTTTGGTGTTATTGAACAAAAGATTTGAGATCTGAACTCCAACCCGTCATGTGACAGCGCTCGCTGGAGCGTGGAGGTTCGGAACGCCTGGAAGGATGACCAATCC